AAATATGTAATTCACTCACATTTGACAGCACTTCAGTCCACACATGCTATCAATCCAGAAGTTAGGTTTCAATACAAATATGCCTCATTTACCTATGAACATCCAGATGAAGAAGCGTATCCAAGTGAGATAGGCGAGATAGGCCATCATGAAGCAGTTGATAAGCAGGCCAAGAGAAGGAATGAGCGGAACGAGTGGAACCTTCAAGGATCACATAACAAAATAGTGTCTAATTCTCCGAATAGCTCTATTAGGCCTACCTTGAACGACAGATCTAGTGCGTTCTGTTTATGACCGCAAATAAAAGTAAATGCGACGATTATTAGAATTACGCTGAAAGCTATGGAGATGTAGCCGGGTATGGTGAGGTGTAGCCCTGACCAAAAGATCTTTGATCAAAAAAAGTTCTAATATTATTAATTTATTGTACAGTTAAGATTTGTGATACTTTTTTAGAAGAGTGAGGGTGTGAATTAGGGAGAGACTATGATATTTCTCTCACTTAATCGTATCGTAAACGCCAGCCAGAAGAAACCGAAGACAAGCGTACACACAGCGATGGAAATAGTTCTTCCAGCAGGGAGACTTTCCCAGTAATCTCGGAAGGGCACCCAAGGCTTGATTGCACCTCCTAAACATTGTGTAGCAAGAAAACTCGACTAAGACTTAAAGTGAACAGGCTGCTAAAAACAAATATGATGATCAGGGTTAGGGCAGGAGAAAGAGAAGGGGGGAGGGGAAGAGAATTGAGTAATAAGTTGTGAAAGAATGAAGAAGGCATGATAGTATTCACTATTTTTCGATTTGAATGAAAATTACCTGTATCTAAATTTTCTGGATCACCGTTGATAGGAGCAGGTTGATATCTAAGAATTAATACACACGCAGAAACCACTGAGTAGGCCAGAAGAGTGCCTATAGACAGAAATTCGACAAGAGCTTCCAGATCAAATACCATTGCCAACGTCGCATTTAGAAGCGTGAACACCACGATGGCGTTGAGTGGTACCTATGGCAAGCATTTCAGAGATAAAAAGCAACGTCTCTGTAAGCCGCCATCGAGAAAAAAAATCAACTGAAGATTTTTTTGAAAAGCTGTATGCGCAACCTTAATGATTTGCTGACTCATGAGAAGTTAATCTGCATAGAGTTTTTTAAAAAGCATTTTCTTGTTTGTGACAGCTCTCATTGTTTCCTCTCCAGTTAAATATTATGAAGTTACCATTTTACTTTCGAAAAAGTAATTTCTCTTAGTGTAGAAGAGAAATGAATTTCACTAATTTGCTTTTGAAGGATTAGCAAGTTTGGTTACAAAATCGAATATCCATTTAATATAAGTGTTGTAGGAAAGTAACCTTTGCATGAGAATTGTACGCTACCAAACAAGGTCATTAAGAAATTGCCTGTTCTAAATCGGCTGACTACTCAATCACTGCGCGGTAGACGGGAAATAAACTTTGCTTTGTCTGAAAACCCCAATTCTGAATTTTCAGTTTTTTTTATTGACCTGATATGTTACAAAGTCATTATCATACTACTCCTTCCAATAATAATTTTAGAGTAATGAGTCACCATAAAAAGCTTTAGTGTCACAATTGCTATCCGAATAAGCACAATTCTGTAGCGGTGAAATTTCGTGCGTAACAAAAATAGGAAAATGAGGGAACTCCTAATATCATTACTTATATTAAAGCGCTAAGTTTGGCTGTACGTGCGTGTGTTTCTCTGTCTGTCACGAAATTAGTTTATTTGTCCTAAGAGAGTCAAAGAGCGCTTGTGTCGTTATCATGTTAACTGCAGAACACTAAGTAAACATGAGCGAATTCGTTGTGAAACCGTGTTAAGCTGGTGGTTCATTTTTTGTTGTTGTGGACGAGACGGTAGGAATAAATGGTCTGTGCATCGTCCCTCAAGAAAACGCTAAGAGGTAACACACTTTCAGCTCTTTTGCAGAAAAGGCCATGTTTCTGATGGTTTCAAGTTAAATTAAGGGAACTTTTTTTTGCTAACTTCTAAAAAACCATTATATTTGATTCTTTGATACATGAATAGTGCGGACCTCTTCGAAGGAGAGGTGAAACACTGGTTCACTATTGAAGAACCAACAATGGATACCTGGTTTATTAGATTTTTTCACTGGCTTTATGGGTATAGAAGAATTCTTAAAGTTTGCTGTCAAGATGTTAGGATTTTAGAAAACTTGTTTCTACCACCTTAAATAAATGTATACATAAAGCAGGCGCTCTCCAAATACTAATTGGTGATGTTGCCATATAGAGACTATGTTGCGTTAGGTTGTTTTGTATCGGTTAGTTTGCTTGTATCAAGTTTACATCGTTCTGATATCGGCCGTCGGAAAACCTCTGAGTACCTTCGTGAATTTGTTGACCGTGGCAAAGAAGGAAAATATAAGTCCATCGTCGGCAATGGAGTACACACATCTCGGAAGGGCAAAAGCACCAGTCACCTAGGAAAAAAGAAATCAA